AAGACAGTGTTTTATGAGGGTAATGATTGGATCACACCCTGGGGTCACATATTTAAATCTTACATATAATATCATAACTCTTTACCCTCAGGCCCTTACTTTCTCAAATCTTGCCCTGGGGCCCTGTAGAACATAAATTATCTGAAAACAAGCCAGTAATGTTATCTAGCCCGACTGGACTAGTTAGTTTAGATTAGAAATTTGTATTCAAGATAAGAACTTTACAGGTGGCCTGTTTTATAAAATAGTTTGGTGATATATATATATTTCTTCTTACAGTTCCTGAGCTGACAATATGGTATAGTTGACTGGAGTGAGATAAAGTAGGAGAGAAACTATACCCAGGAGTGAGGCTTGAACCAGGGACTCTCATCTGACTTCATCATTCCATAGAGGCAACTGAATCAAACACATGCAGCAGTCGAGATTTTCATTCAGAAGATTCTGCAGTCTTCTAACACATGTATAGTTTATGAAGTTAAGTTTTAAAGTGTTTTTGACCACAGTCTTGTAGAAAGTGTTGTAGTAAATCAGGAATCAAGCTTTGAAAGTATTACCATTACTGCCTCAGTGATATTGCGATACTCTTATGCCAGAAACACTGGTCAAGCTGTTCAGTCCCAAAGAAGATATTGTTTAATTGTGGAAAATTTAGTACAATGTGTTCTTAATCATGCTGATTCTCATAAAATCAGAATAAATTTAAAGAGATTTGAAAATTCATCAAGTTAAAGAACCATATCTGTGATATTCATTAAAAATCCAAAATGGCCAGTTTTTTTCGTCGAAGGCGTGGTCTGTTATTTAAAGCTGTGATTGCTGTTCCGTTGCTATGGATAGTTGTAGTTGTTGTGTTTAGTACGAGCGGCAAATTAAACTCAGATCAACCACATTGGCAACAAGTGGAAATCGAGAAACGTGAAGAAGCACCCCTTCATGCACCTCCTGAATCGCGGAGACATCACGAAAATATACACAATGAACCTCAACGTGACAACGAGAAAATTCACAAAAATGACGTTGAAAATAACGAGGATAAAAAAAAAGAAAAAGACCATAAGTTAAAATTCAGGTCACATGAGCAAAAGGAGGAGGAGCCAGCGTATGATCCCAATGCTCCTGGTGAGTTTTGAAATTTTGATTTTTTCTGTAATTTCTATCAAAACAATCTGCTGGGTGGGAGCTGACAGAAGTTGGTAACGTGTATAATATTATTATTGATAGGTTATTTGTTTAGTAACAATGTAAACTCTCTATAATAATCAACTTATTGAACAACACTCCATTTATACCAATAATACCATGATTGATTCTAATCTTATTTTTCTACGCCCACAACTCAGATTTCAGACTGATTTCATGCTCAATGTAGACTCTATGCCCTCTACATAGATTTCTAGCTAATTTTCAACTCTCGCCATGTAGATTTCAAAAATTTTTACGCCTACTGAGTAGATTATAAACTTTTGTTATACACCCACAATGTAGATTTCAAACTCATTTATCTACTTCTACATTGTTTATAAAATTTGGCTTACTGGCCTTGCCCTCCACACCCCATTTTTTATTATATAACATAGGGAAAGAATTGTCTGTATAGTGATTGCTATATTTTATTGATGTATATTTTTATATTTTTGTAGGAGAGCAAGGTAAGCCTGTTACTGTTAATAAAGAATCGTTGGATAAAGAAGAACGTAAGAAATTTGATGATGGTTGGCAGAAGAACGCATATAATCAGTATATCAGTGATATGATGTCATTACACCGAAGTTTACCAGACGTCAGGGATGAAGAGTAAGTATCCATTTTGTTCACCTTTCTGCTCTTTGACTTGTGGATTTTGATTGTTGATTTCCTGCTTGGGAGATAAATAATGCCCATGAGGTGACAGCAACTGAAACGGTTTTAACTCAGATGTATTTTTGTCGAAAATGTTTTATGACCAATCAGAGATTTACAACCTACTTTACTGTAAACTTGACTTGTTATGTTAGATTATCGCTAAACTAACGGGTATAGCCTAAATCTCATGGATCTCCTGGATTAAGCAAAAGAAACCTCAATGACATTACTGTAGTTTATGATGTGAATTTCCTCCAATCAATGCCAAGATGACAAAAGCTTCAACTTGTTCCTAATGCTAATTTTTAGATGGAATGGCGGACCAGTGTAACTACTGGCTACTGTATCTAATAGGATTAACAAAAGGGGAAGATATACATTTTGCTTCTCAGAACCTCAGTAGGATTAGAAGTATGTAAAACACCTAGGTACAAAGCAGAATAATATAAAACTTACATAATAAGATACAGAACAGCAGGTTGTAAAAATCATTGCTTGTCGTTAAACAGGTTTTAAAACATTAAAATGTAAAACTACTACGATTATCTTTAAATTGAGTTGTACTAATGGCCACAGAATTGGGTGATAAAATACATTTTCATCTTCAACTTATTACAACTGTAACCTTTAAAATATCCCTGGAGCACGCTAAACACAACACATTATGCCTAATTACGTGTAAACTTTCTCTCTGTTAAAAATTAATGGGATGAAATTTAATTTGGGGACTGTATCATCATTGTTAAAGTAATTGTCTCAGTCGATTTAGAAAAATCATGATAACGATGATGGAAGTCTGATCTGCACCGAATGAAATTAGAGTAATTTAATTAGGTCATCTGTAATTAAATAAGAAACAGTTAAAGATCTGTGGTTTCAAATATAATTACCATAGCAACTATTAGTTACAGTAGAGAGATAAATGTTATTTTCTCCAGATGGCCTTGTGCTATTTAAATATAAATTTTTAATATCTTGGTCATAAAATAGCATTCACTTTCATTGAAACTTTCATGGAATGAATAAAATAGATTTACATTTTGAATTCAGAAATTTCTAACGGTAATCATTTATTTAATGAAGTTTGAAACTGCAGAGATCTTGGTTTCAGCAGAAAGCCAGATAATCTTTCTGTCGAAGGCTATGATTGTCTGTATCTGACGTATAATCCAATCAAACCAATGCATTCTGGGATACAAGATTAGTGGCTATTGCAGTCAAGGTATAAGATTGTAATAACTTGACCATTGTAAAGATGCAAAGACCCTTAACTCAAGTTCATTAAACTAATTGAGGAATTTTGTTATTGATTAAATTGAAAGTAATGAAAGGTGAAGAAAATATAGCATACCCTTTCTATATAGTTGTATGAAGATCACATAGCATGAATCTCTGAGTAACATCATGATTTTTTAGGTTCTGTTTTAATATTTCTATTTCTATATATATAGAGACTCTTGACTCAAATCAAATTAACAAGTTCTCATACAACATTTAAAGATTCTATTATTGATTTAGCAGGAATTAATAAAGGTCATGAAGTGAAGTTATATTTTTGGAATTTTAATCCAATTGGATCTCGAATGTTTATTGATAAATTCGCTCCTCTTGATATATTATCACCGTAGAAACCATGTTAATATTGAAACAACCAGGATATATTTTATTAATGTCAATAATACAGGGTGTAGGTTATCTGTTGGTTATTTGGAAATATTGATGTTGTTAAGCAGATTACACAGTTTATAGACTTAACGGATGTATTAACGGTCAATGTTTCTGTAAATTTCTGAGATTTTATGAAGATATTACACCTGAAAACCCTGGTTTAGATTATGATGGTGAAATCATACATCTTGTCGTTTAGACGTGAATAAAGATAGTAAACAATTTTATTATAGAACAGGATATGCTGGGCTGTTATATTTTCTGTGATTCGTTAAAGATTGTATCTAGATATTCAGATGCTGAATTCATACACCATTTCTTCTTGGTTGTGAATATAGACATTCTTTAACCTCATTATACCCAGCCAAAAAATGACAAACATTAAATCCAGAATTGTTTTATTTATCCACTACATGCTGTTAAATCTTTTTATTCCAAACTGGTGCTGATTTCTGTAAAACTTAACTAAGATTAGAATCAAGATTTGTAGAAATAATATAACCTGATTAGTTCATAACATTGTCTCATCAAATTACTAGAAAAATCACATGAAGTAAAGTTTTTTTAGAAATTGGCCTAGGGCTCTTTATATGCTTATATTTCATACCTTGCTATATATTTGTTGTATATCTTATACACTTTTCTTTAGAGCTATCAATTCTCAAATGACGCCCCCCTGACCTGTATCACTGACAGGGGAAACCGGGTTGAAATATCCAAAGATAACATCTCAATCTATGCCGTGATTGAACCCTGGACTTTCAGATTAGTGAGCATGTGTCTAATTCTCTGAGCCCTGGGACTCCCATCAGCTAGATATGTCTAGCAAATAAAACTAAATCAACAACCCTTTTCAGATGAATCAGCAATCCCGCTCCAAGTATTCTCTTTAAAGCCGTAACGTTTTTATCTTTTCTAAAGTAAACTTTTTCTGCCAAGAGCTAGACATGACAGGCAAATGAAACTAGATCAACAACTCTGATGCCTGTGCCTGTGCCTGCGCTTTAGGCTAAAACCTAAATTCATTCTCTGGTAAATCCATTTTGTTTCATTATCAATGGTATTTCAAGTATGTTCTGTAAAGCCATTTAGTGTATATCAATTAAAAGACAAAGAATCCATTGTTGATATAGATACTACCCTAATACTTGACTTGTCATTCTGTCTGGTTGAAACTCTTTACAACATGATACCTCTTGAATAACTAATTAAATATTACCAATTAAGAAAAAATGTGAACTTGAAATCTGAATAGATATTACAAATTAGTAAAGATTGTCTCAATTTTCTGGGTATCTATCACACACTGTCATTTTTTGTCTGGGTTTACAGATGATCACAAAAGATTTGAAACAAAAAGATATGGAAATTAAAAGCTTAGAATTCTGATTGATCAAAAGAAACATAAAACTTTTTAAAATGAAAGAAATTAATAAAAGGAAGAGGAAGAAAAGATGGAATAAAACAGTGCTGAAGATAGAGAAATATTGAAAGGGATTAGTTTATGGTGGAATAATTTGGGTCATGAATATATGTAAATAGTCTTCATAATTACTAGAAATTCATAAAAATCGCATAATCCTATCAAATACCTCAAACTAGGAATTTTACTCACCCACATAAAATCTACAATCAATTTTGTTGTAAGTATGGTATTTCTCAATGTAGAATTCTAAACATACGACAAATTCTTAACGTTAGGATTTTTGACTGGAATGGTCCCAGATGATTAAATATATTTACAATTACTAGGTAAGATGTACAGACAGTTAAAAACAGAAAGTACATGTTGTTTATGTTACATACGTACTTTACAGAGATTACGTAACAAAAGAATTAAAAATTGTTAACTTGGTGAAAATACGATGTAAATAAACAATGTTTGTACACATACATGGTGACGTTCATCTTCATCAGACTACTAATCCTTCAGTAAATACTTCGCTTCCGTTTTCAACCAATATTTAAAACACATTGTATAATCAGGGATAAGTGGTTTGGAAATAACTGAAATCGGATTTTTTAGAATTCCAAGTGTATAAACACAATTTTTAAAATATTTCGGTTGTTTTTGTCATGAGAAATTTTAGGTTATGATAACAAATTATTGAAACGGATCTTATATTTTTAATATTTTTATTTCTATTGTTAAAATGATGAAATAGATATTGATGGTTCAAGGCGACATATAGATATGTTTTTATAAACTTCAAATTGTACCCTCAAGGCAGTTTCTTCATACATATATATATTTTATAGTTTACATTAATATATCCAAACACATTGATTCAAAACAGTGATTTGTTTAGTATAATAATTGAAAATTGAAACTTTTGTGTTATTTGAAGAAGAAATAAACTGAGGCTGTTACTTGTGCTACTGACAAAGCTCTTGAACTACCTAAAAATAAAAAAAGGATAGCTCAGATTTTGAACCAAAAGAAAGGAAATGTTTGTCATGTGATCAATTGCGTTTACACACCAATAATGCTTTTGAGACCATTATATAAATCTGTAGAGTTATAATTCTATATGAAATATAATTTTTTACTTCCAGATGTAAATCAGAAGAGTACCGCAGTGAACTCCCTGACACGAGCGTGGTAATTTGTTTTCACAATGAGGCGTGGACAGTATTATTACGAACCGTACACAGTGTTCTCGATAGATCCCCGAAACATTTAATAAAAGAAATTATATTAGTTGATGATTTCTCAGACATGGGTACGTATATTTGAAATTATCAAATGAAAATAGCTTTAAAATGTCACCAGAGGCTCATTTCATAAAAGCTTGAAGGGATTGTCTTAACTTTTTCTAAACTTTTTTTTTTAGAGAACAGTGATAGCATCATTCTAATTTTCAGTCAGATAAGATGGTTCGCGCAATTCTATTAAACTAACTATTTCATAACGTCATACTGGATACAGCCCTTAGATATTATATATCAATATACTATTTGGTAAAAATACATGACTGTATGATACAATATTAGTGTTGTGTCATGTCGTATCTCCGTGCACCAAGACATCAGTCTTTAATAAGTCATTTCTAACCAGTCTTTACTTTCCCTATAAAATCTTAATTTATATAGCAGATTATTTGATAAAGTCTATGAAGATTCTGTCATTTAGTCATAAATATCAGACTGGGTCTAAAGTCTTCACCCTGGGAACTTCTTGTTCAATGTCTTCATTTCATAACTTAATTAAATTGTTAGCTCTTTTACTTTAGCCATAGATTAAGCCGACTAGACGATATCTTGACATCGACTGTCGGAAGAGCGTTAAATTTAATATTTCTCACTTAACGATAAGTTATAAACGAGTTACAGTCTGACTGAATGTCAGACCTGTCATATTACTCATACAGCGCCCTCTATCGTGGACGCATCTAGTTGATTATTAAGTGAAACTGCCGAAACAAATTGAATTAAGATCTAAATTAAACTATGTAAAGACAGGCGAATCAATATGATATCACTGCGTTATTTCGTTATAAGTAGTCCGAGCGTATGAATCTATTGATGATGAGTTAATTAGTGATATTGAAAACGTGTTTTTCAGTTATTCAGTACAGATGTACTGTCTGAGATATTTTAAATTGAATTGTGAATAGGACTGAAAAACTTTTTGAATGACAGAACAAAGGTGGCTACCATGTATATCAAGTCTACCGTCAAAAGCCGTATAATTTCACTGATTTCTGTTCTTTATTCCAGATCATTTGAAATCGGCACTAGAAGACTATATGGAGAAATTAGGGAAGGTGAAAATAGTCCGAGCTAAGAAACGTGAGGGTTTAATCAGAGCTAGGTTGCTAGGTTTTGCTGCTGCCACAGCTGATACTGTTACATTCCTCGATTCACATTGTGAATGCACCAAAGGTAAGTATTGATTGTATTTTATCAGTTATTAGTCCTGTAAACCAGTGGTGGAGATTAGAGATTCAGGCAATTTCAGATTTTAACACTTGTTAGTCTAAAAGTTTCCTTTTTTCACTCGTTGGTCTAAAGGTTACCTTTTTACACTCGATAGTCTAAAGGTTACCTTTTTACACGCGTTGGTCTAAAGGTTACCTTTTTTCACTCGATAGTCTAAAGGTTACTTTTTTACACGCGTTGGTCTAAAGGTTACCTTTTTACACTCGATAGTCTAAAGGTTACTTTTTTACACGCGTTGGTCTAAAGGTTACCTTTTTACACTCGATAGTCTAAAGGTTACCTTTTTACACGCGTTGGTCTAAAGGTTACCTTTTTACACTCGATAGTCTAAAGGTTACCTTTTTACACTCGTTGGTCTAAAGGTTACCTTTTTACACTCGATAGTCTAAAGGTTACCTTTTTACACTCGATAGTCTAAAGGTTACCTTTTTACACTCGATAGTCTAAAGGTTACCTTTTTACACTCGATAGTCTAAAGGTTACCTTTTTACACTTGCTGATCTAAAGGTTACCTTTTTACACTCGTTGGTCTAAAGGTTACCTTTTTACACTCGTTGATCTAAAGGTTACCTTTTACACTCGTTGGTCTAAAGATTACCTTTTAACACTCGTTGGTCTAAAGGTTACCTTTTTACACTTGTTGTTCTAAAGGACAGCTGATTCTGATAAATGAACAATATCAGGACTTGAGGCATATGATCAAAGACCTTTTAAGTTCTTTCGTCTCATTGCTTTTCAGTTCAGTGAGAATTGCTAGCTCACTTGGCTTAATACCTTTCTGAAACAACTAATGTATCTTTGTTATGTCATTGGAGATTCCATATAGCTTATATTGCAGTATATTTGGTACTTACGTCTGTCAACAATTGTAAATTCGGAAAAACTAACAATTGTTATAAGATTTAAAAGTTTTCAGCATCCCCATTGGAGAGTAAACAGAACGACACTTGTTTTATAGAGACTCCATAGTTTACACTGACATATATCATCAAAGGCAATGTTTGAAAATTAGCCCTTAACTTTCTACAAAGTATAATTTAGACATTTTCAACCATATACAATTTAAAACGTCCTTCATCAAAGAAATCGTAAGTTTAAAAAAAGATTTAAAATTGAAACTTACACTTAAAGTATTATGAGTATAAAAAGTTGTAAAGGTTTGATAATAAAACGAGCTAGTGAATAGAGTTTGATGATAGAGTAAATGTATTTTGAAGTGATCTACAGACATTGAGAACGTTACGAGGGGTAATTTGTCAATCAAAATGAAAGGATATCTTGTCGTTTGAATCAAGCTTTATTCGAACCTAACAAGATTTCACTAAACCATAAAATAACAAAGCATGATTTCGTCTCCGCGTAATGAACTTTAAAGTAGGTTTTCAGTGTATTTTATATGTCGTTAGTTTTAAATTAGATCGGAAGAAGGTCGCAGACAAAATTAAAAGGATCGCGAACATAAAATACATCATGGTCAAAAGATAATTAGAAAATATCACGAAAAATAGTTGGCACGGTTTCATCCTAGACGCCTTCATTAAGGCCGTTAGGTCGTTAAAATAATTAAAATTGACTGATCTAATCTAATTATACAATTAAGTTTAAATTACTTGGCAAGTTCAAGTTGCCAGGAAACAGACATTAACCTTCAAGGGAGAAATAAAACTTCTCATTCGCTAGCTGATCAGTTTTTACAGTGAAAATTTCCTGTAGAATTTAGAAATTTTTCTTTTTTCTTAGGTTAAAATAATGAAAGCAAACTTATAATGAAATTTATTTTTTTTATAAAAAGATGGAAAGCTAAATTAAAAATTAAAATTAATTCCTTCAAGAAGTCACATGAAATATTGAAAGTTCACTGGCTGTTTTATTTTCTGCCAACAGTTTTATTAAATACACCAGAATTAAACTAAAAAAAACTCGATGTAAGTCAAAAAGATAAAAATATAAATCTGTCAAAATATAAAAATGTCATTTATTCAGAAAATTGTTTCAAAAATTATATATTAAGGTTTTAAAAGTATATATGTCAAATTTGTAAAAATATAAGAATATTTGACTAGGTGTTTTATTGGACTAATGTAGTTTCAATACAGATGCTCCTCAACCACAATTATACATTAAAGGGATATACATTTATATTAATACATGGCAACTGGATCAACATGTCATATACGACAATAAACATATAAGCAAGCAAAAATGATTTACAACAGGATTCATAGTCTCACAGTAGAAAAGAACTTACTTCTTTTTTTCATGCTTAAAAGAAATGAAGAAAAATTGCATACTTCCTATAAAAATATCTCAAACTAGGAATTTCTTGTTCTATTTATATAGATGTCTTTTCTATATATGGCAGTGCTCAAAAAAAGATGACTCGTCTTTTTAACTTTCAAACAAGGATAATTCTAGACACACATGGATTTGAAGGCTCAAAGTTCGATGTTGAGCTGTGAACACTATCACTGATTGGCTAAGCTAAAAAATTCTCTTTTCAGAGACTAAGGTATGATTGCTCAAAAAAGTGGCCCATCTGTCCCTTTAACATTATCTATCTTTTCAACATAGTTATGAAATTATCTGACTAACCAATGTAGTCATGTGAAATTATCTGACTAACCAACGTAGTCATGTGAAATTAGCCATGTGGGATTGTAAATAATGCAGATGTGCAACAGTCTAATCGATTGATCAGATTTTGTTGGCGCAGGAGAACCAGACTTTTAATTACAGTTCTGAAAAATGTTACAGAAATTGAGCTCTATCAGCTGGTAAAGTAAAAATATAGACGACTGTACAGATAGCTGAAATTGAGCTTTATCAGCTGGTAAAGTAAATATTTAGATGACTGTACAGATAGATGAAATTGTGCTCTATCAGCTGGTAAAGTAAATATTTAGACGACTGTACAGATAGATGAAATTGTGCTCTATCAGCTGGTAAAGTAAATATATAGACGACTGTACAGATAGCTGAAATTGAGCTTTATCAGCTGGTAAAGTAAATATTTAGATGACTGTACAGATAGATGAATTTGTGCTCTATCAGCTGGTAAAGTAAATATTTAGACGACTGTACAGATAAATGAAATTGTGCTCTATCAGCTGGTAAAGTAAATATTTAGATGACTATACAGATAGCTGAAATTGAGCTCTATCAGCTGGTAAAGTAAATATTTAGACGTTGACTATACAGATAGCTGAAATTGAGCTCTATCAGCTGGTAAAGCAAATATTTAGCTGACTATACAGATAGATGAAATTTAACTCTATCAGCAGGTAAAGTAAATATTTAGCTGACTATACAGATAGATGAAATTTAACTCTATCAGCTGGTAAAGTAAATATTTAGCTGACTATACAGATAGATGAAATTTAACTCTATCAGCAGGTAAAGTAAATATTTAGCTGACTATACAGATAGATGAAATTTAACTCTATCAGCTGGTAAAGTAAATATTTAGCTGACTATACAGATAGATGAAATTGAGCTCTATCAGCTGGTAAAGTAAATATTTAGTTGACTGTACAGATAGCTGAAATTTAACTCTATCAGCTGGTAAAGTAAATATTTAGTTGACTATACAGATAGCTGAAATTGAGCTCTATCAGCTGGTAAAGTAAATATTTAGCTGCCTATACAGATAGATGAAATTTAACTCTATCAGCTGGTAAAGTAAATATTTAGACGACTGTACAGATAGATGAAATTTAACTCTATCAGCTGGTAACGTAAATATTTAGCTGACTATACAGATAGATGAAATTGAGCTCTATCAGCTGGTAAAGTAAATATTTAGCTGACTATACAGATAGATGAAATTTAACTCTATCAGCTGGTAAAGTAAATATTTAGCTGACTATACAGATAGATGAAATTTAACTCTATCAGTTGGTAAAGTAAATATTTAGCTGACTATACAGATAGATGAAATTGAGCTCTATCAGCAGGTAAAGTAAATATTTAGCTGACTATACAGATAGATGAAATTTAACTCTATCAGCTGGTAAAGTAAATATTTAGCTGACTATACAGATAGATGAAATTTAGCTCTATCAGCTGGTAAAGTAAATATTTAGCTGACTATACAGATAGATGATGAAATTGAGCTCTATCAGCTGGTAAAGTAAATATTTAGCTGACTATACAGATAGATGAAATTGAGCTCTATCATCAGGTAAAGTAAATATTTAGCTGACTATACAGATAGATGAAATTTAACTCTATCAGCAGGTAAAGTAAATATTTAGCTGACTATACAGATAGATGAAATTTAACTCTATCAGCTGGTAAAGTAAATATTTAGCTGACTATACAGATAGATGAAATTTAACTCTATCAGTTGGTAAAGTAAATATTTAGCTGACTATACAGATAGATGAAATTGAGCTCTATCAGCAGGTAAAGTAAATATTTAGCTGACTATACAGATATATGAAATTTAACTCTATCAGCTGGTAAAGTAAATATTTAGCTGACTATACAGATAGATGAAATTTAACTCTATCAGCTGGTAAAGTAAATATTTAGCTGACTATACAGATAGATGAAATTTAACTCTATCAGCAGGTAAAGTAAATATTTAGCTGACTATACAGATAGATGAAATTGAGCTCTATCAGCAGGTAAAAGAAAATGTTTATAAGATTATTTTTAATAAGTAGATTGTCAGTAATCTCCTCAAAAACTATATTTAGTTATCAATCAATTTCCTGATTTTTATGAGATAAAAACTATCAAACATTAGATAAAGTCATTAAATCTTGAAACAGAAGTGACCTGTGAGTTAATTCTAATAAGCTTGATATCATTAATAACTTTATTTTGGCAACCCAATGAGACAAAAGTCTAATTTTCAATTATTATATACAAGATTACGGAGGGAATAAAAATACAGAAAATAACATATAACATATAAACATTTACAATGTAACATGAATAAGGATAGAAATATGAAAATGTAAACACTGTGTATTCCAACTAAACTACAAATTATACATTAAGTAACATAAAGAAATAAAAAAAACAGAAAATAACATAAAACATTTACAATGTAACATGGATGAGTTAAGAAATATAAAAATGTAAACACTGTGTTTCTTAGATTATATGATGTTTTGATTGTAGAACAAGTGGTGTTCATGGGTTTGAATCTCTACTGACTGTGATTGTACAAGTCTGGTAATCTTATAGAAACTGTCAGTTAAATCAACCAAGCTCTATTTATACCAAACATATAATTAATTAAACAAGAACTAGATAAGATACTTGAGAATATAACTTGTTCTCCATGGCTACCTCCTCATTATGTTATGCATTCTTGTATGTACCCACGTTCTTCATTTCATCTGATGACAATACGTGTAGATTGTGTGGAAGCGTTAAGTATGTTGTTATTAAAGAAGTGTTATACCATAATATACCGTAATATACCGTAATATACCGTAATATACTGTAATATACCGTAATATACCATAATATACCGTAATATACCGTAATATACCGTAATATACCGTAATATACTGTAATATACTGTAATATGCTTTCTCCTTAAGTAATCCAAACCTTAAAGTCATCTCTTAGTATAGTCATTCGAATGGGACAATAAACCGAGGCCCCATGTGCTACAGGCTGTGCACATTAAAGATCCCTTGACAGTTGGAAATCGAAAAAGAGCAGGCTAATGCCGCTGTCCTGGCAAAAATTTCCCTCATTGCACCCTGCATGGTGTTGCCCGTCTTCATCAGCTCACATGGTGTATAAAAGTAGATAAAGTAGACATAAAACTTCATTCATTTCATTTAGTCATTATGAAGATCTTTGAGAACCTAAATAGTTATCCATGTAACATAAGACACTTTCTCTTTCCCTTTAACATGATAGCTTCTCTTGAACTGAAAATGTCAATGCCAAATATGGAATAAAAAGATCTGTGATAATTGGAATATGTCTTGCAGACATTCCGGTGCCAATATAATGAAGACAATATTGGTTTTAAGACCATCTCGGCATGAAGATATAGAGAAAAGGAAATGTAACTGATTGTTAAAGTTAAAAGAGGTTCACTGTGACAGTTTTATTGCTGTTTCTTTGATTTATATTGACGTACAAAAAAATGAAAAAGAAATATGATTAAAACTGAAAAAATGACTACATTTCAAATCAATGGCAGCCTATATATCTCAAATTTAAAAAAAACAAACAATTCTGTTGTGGGGTAGATATTTTGTCAATGTGTATGTGTATTTTGATTTTAACTATCTGTTAGAATATTCTATCTTGACGTACTGGTAGTGATTAGAGACGGAGCCAGCTTTACGTCTGAGATGGGGCGAGATATCTGATATTGCCTGAATCTTTAACCTAGTTATGAGATTTTTGCCCGATAAAACTTGCTTTTGGGGCTGCGAGGGGAGGCGACTACTCCCTCTGTCACCCCTTTGGATCCACCACTCATATTGATTTATAGATCTCTTGACAGTTTGTAACTTAAGTATTTTAGAAAAATTAAATACATAATTGATCATAAGTGTCCATAATAAATATTTGTACAAGCCAAACTATTAACTAAAAATCTTGTCCAAATTTGACAAAATCGAGAGCAGTAATCGAGAAGTACAATCAGGTGTTTCAAAAAGAGTAAGCATGCTAGGGTACACATAAATATTTCACAATGTCGTTTGTATTTATCATATCTGAAATATTTTGTGACAGGAACCAATATATTCTGTTAAAAAATAAGCTGTTTCCATCAATTGGCATCAAAGAGTCCAAAATATCAGGGAACAAGATTCCGCAGTAAGCAGACGCTTAATTCAAATCAAATATATTGATGATTGGAATATTTTCAGGCTGGCTGGAACCATTATTAGACAGAATTGCCGCCAACAGATCCAATGTGGTCTGCCCAGTTATAGACGTTATCGAAGACGACTCTTTTAAGTACCAGTATGGCAGCGCCAAGGCAACCAGTATAGGTGGTTTTGATTGGAACATGCAGTTTTCGTGGCATGCAATTCCTGAGTATGAACGAAAAAGACGAAGCAAGGATATTGCTCCTTTAAGGTAAGAAATATGATATTTGTTCCTGAAAGTATTTTGTGGAATGCTGTTTATCGTGTATTTCATGGGAATTGGAATACTTAGATTGGCTAGGATAGTTTCTGGATGACTTGGAATCTTTGATAAAGGTTTAATAACCAACTCAACAAAAGAGGTTTTGTGTCCTATAATTAAAGCTTAAGATATTTATTTTTGCCCATGACTTGAAGTCAATCTTGTTTTTACAGGTCACCTACTATGGCTGGAGGATTATTCACTATTCATCGAGAATATTTTGAACATTTGGGAACATACGATCCTGGCATGGATATTTGGGGTGGGGAAAATTTAGAATTGTCTTTTAGGGTGAGTACATCAAACCATTTTCTAGATTTTCTGTCTGCTTACATCTATTTTAATCATGTAGTATCAATAAAAGACTTCCGAAGCCGCGACTTTCTCTAGCCAAAAACAGTTAAAGTTTTAAGGGATCCAGTCTTTGGAATAGCCTACTTTCAAATCTACAAGTTTTAAACAATCCAAAATTATTTCTTCAAAATATTTCAGTTTACATTTCAAATACAAATTGCCATTATTTTTATAAAATTTGTATAACAATTTTCCGATTGAGAGTTATTACAAGTTTCTTCTGTTAATAATTTTATATTGTTTGTATAATTGTTGCTGATTAATTTTGTTTGTATGTATATAAGTTGGGCGCTCACTCATAAAGTTTATTATTATTATTATTATTTTGATAACTACATACATGTGTACAGGTCAGGAAAAAAAATCGGGAGATTTGCCTTGAAAAATCTGGAGATGGGTGAAAAGTCGGGAGATTTTTCCAAAGCGCGTAAATTCATGATTTGAAACTCCAAATTGATTGTTTTTTTCTTTTTTTTTTTTTCAAATAAGCTTTAAGCCTTGTAAATTAATTAAATTGATCATAGGCCTACATGACACAGTTAAAATTAACAATCTATAATTATGGATAATTCTAGAAATAGTGCCTGATATTTCAAATTTAGGGGAGTTAAACTATCAATATTTCAAAATGAGAATTGGTGAATATTGCCACTTTAATATAAAAGACAATAAAAATTCTGATATAAACTATGATTGATATAACTACCTCCCGAGAGACTGTATCATATTTTAAACTGCAGTTTTATCTCGATATTCTCTAATACCCTATCATTATTGTTTTATTCCATACTTTTTCACGCTATTTTAGACTTCAAGTCAGAAGAGTATATAAAACTTAATGGCTGAATTGTGCTATCAATATAAATTTTTTAGAAATAATGGTTTCAAAGGGGTTTTATTTTCCTTTATAAAAATATAGGTTGTTTAAAAAATAAAAGTCATGTGATTTTCGATGGAAGCATTTTGAATTTAAAAAATGAAATATACAATGCTGTACTATTATTTAGAGGGCTGTTGAACCCTTAACTGTCTAAAACAACATGGTTTGTCTAACTTCTGTGTCAGTAATGCTATATCTAAAAGGTTTGATTTAAAACAGGAGTGTTTTTGATCAATGTATCTTGAGAACAATCTGGAAAAAAGAGGGGGCACTACTGGGGATGCTCTCCTACATCAGTGCCTCCTAAGTATTTTGACCTGAATCGAAATTTTCTGTTGTATTTTTATAATCCTTAACTTAATAACTTGAACCAAAAGCAATAAGCAGCAGTGAGTTAGACACTTGCTTGCTAACCTGAAGGTCAAAGGTTCAATCCCAACATAGGTCGAGACAATACCTTCGGATTTTTCAACCTGGTTTCCCCCGTCAGTGATGCAGGTAAGAGGGGCTGACATGGAAAAAGCGTCTAGTCGTTCAGATGGGACAATAAACCGAGGCCTCATTGCACCCTGCATAGCGTTGCCCGTCTTCATTAGCCCACATGGTGCAGAAAAGTAGGACGTAAAACTCCATTCAATTCATTGAGGTTGTGAGGGCCACTTAAGATGCATTCACTTAAGTTTCATGACATGGTGAACTAGATTGACAAATAGAGCAAATCATTGCCATTGAAACATTTTCTTATTATTCTGCCTCTGACTGATATTTTAAAGTTTTAACGGCCTCTTTAAATAGTTTGATTTTTCTCTATTATAAACACTGTGATTTATACCAGTCAGACTTGAGTGTTTCGTGCAGGAAATGATTAAAATATAAAAAATTTTAAAAAGTTGAAACAATGTCTGATTAAATATAGACTGAATATTTTATAAGTTCAAAAATGAAAATTGTAAATTGTACTTATAAACAGTAGTAAAAAGAATGATGACATCTCTAGATAAAGTCATAGAAAAAACTTTAACTAAAATTGAAAGCCCTTGTTTTTGTGAAACATCATGATGTTTATTTTGTGATGAACATGTCTACTCCAAACCAGGTCAGATCCAGCAGGAATTTTCAAACTTTCTAATACCATTGGAATTTTGTCAATCGGCACTAAAGAACCTAAACTTGACTTGATGTGTAGATAAGGTAATGAGAGCATAGTGTATCAACAACTGATAGGTCCAATGCATATAGCCTATTTAAGGTCCCCATGACTTCCATCATGTAATAACATTAACATGATATGAATAAGTAACACGTGTTTGTTTATTTCTGATACTGTCACTTTCAAATTTTGCAATATAGACAAGGTCTTGAGAGCAGACTATGTCAGTAAATGCCAGAGCCAGTGCCTTTGAGTGTCAGTGATTATGGAATCCCTATGTCCTGACATATATACTATGTATAATAACAAAATATATAGATATATCTTGTAAATCATAAATAAGTGATGAAGAATTATCTACCATGAAATCTCAGCACAGTTCAGACTTCTGCTATATATTAATTATTTATTCCTTTCATTTTATTTCTATTGTTTTCATTGTTTGACTGGAGTTTATGGTTGGATTCATACATATTTATTTGACTTTTATAACTCTTCTAGATTTACTCACTTATGAATGATATATCCTACTCAAATGAAAAGTATATTAACTGCTACCAATGTATTGCCAATTTGTAATTTTGAATTCTGGTTTTGTTTTGTTTTGTGTTTTGGTTTGTTAGTATTTGTACATAAATAGGCCTATCATTGTTCAACAAGATCTCTATTATATTTTCTATTCAAGTATGGAATTTGATAATTTGTTAGAGCAATGATTCTTTACATGACGTCATTTGCCTGGCTGCGTTGAACAAATCAAGCCTGGAGGGTTCCAAACTTTATAGACATGTAAAAGTCTGACGACCTTGTATAAGTCATCATCCCTCATTATTACGTCAACCCAGCTGTTAATGGGTACGAATAATCTGGGAGAGATCAATGTCAGTAGGTTTGGCCAAGGTCTAGCTGGTAGAAAGGATTCTCATGTACCTCAGTTGTTATCATTGTAAAATATAGTTGTTTCTTTCTGTTTTAATGTTATTAACTACCATTACCTAACTAAATTCTATATTCTATTAAAGATGGGTTTCCTTACTTTTAGTGTCAAATGAAGCAAACTATTTTATAAATTGGTGTTTCTTTTGAATTATCATGTCATTATGTTATTGCATATAAATAAGAGTTTTAACCAATCACAAATGTTCATGTATGTACAGTCTGGATAAACAAAAAAAACCCCACTTTTTGACGTTTCTTGATTGGTCACTCATTGGAATTCTGCTGGTAATTCTTTTCTAATTTAGCTAAAAGTAAATTCATTATTTTTTTTTTTTCAGTATTTTTCCAAGTCATTAGAACACCTCTACTTTCTATTCATATGGTATTAGCATTTTCATTTTCATAAATGAAATAAGGGAACCCATCTTTAAAGTATGTCTATGTTTGTAATTATAGGTATGGATGTGTGGAGGAACACTAGAAATCATACCATGTTCACACGTTGGTCATATCTTCCGTAAACGTAGTCCGTATAAATGGAGGACTGGTGTTAATGTGGTAAAGAAGAATTCTGTGAGACTAGCTGAAGTTTGGATGGATGAATATAAAGATTATTATTATGAAAGATTTAATCATGATTTGGTGAGTACATCTTTAATATTTCTGAGGATCGTGTAATCTGTTTTTTTTTTCATGTGCCACACTTCATGGATCTTACTAAGACTATCGTGCCATCATTCATCTTTATGATGTAGTTCTTAGAAACCACCCAGGAAATTTTGAAGATTATCTCTGCAGTAGGGGAAATTTTGTAAAGAAATGACCTGCTCTCTTTTGATTTTCAACTGTCGAGGGATCTTTAAGGCACACAGCACCTTGTTATATATAATTATTTTAAGTGCCAAGTAGTGAACATAAACGTTTATAAAATTTTCAGGGTGAGTTTGGAGATGTATCTGCTAGAAAAGAATTACGTAAAAATTTGAAATGTAAAAGTTTTGATTGGTTTGTAAAAAATGTCTACCCTGATTTATTTGTTCCTGGTGAATCTATCTGTTCAGGGGAGGTAAGTGCTATTAATTTTGATTATTTAATAGTTGTCGTACAATAAGAAACTTTGTTTACTCGGTGATTATGTGGACCTCTTACTCTAATGTTTGCTGCCTGGTTGTATGCAAGAAAGTATTGAAATGTGTGCTGGTTTTCATCTGGCCGCTGAGCAAATTAAGCATAACTTTGAACACAGAAAGCTTCAGATCATCTTCTGTGACAATGTCATTTTTGTTACACAGGGGACAGGGACACGTCATAAGAGGCTTGCGAATATGGCATCTCCACAGAGTTGAGTAAAGTCGTCCCACTATTCGTGCTCCCCAATTCTGAATTATTCATTAAGGGAATGTGAAGAGTGATCACAGACTCTTAATTTAAATTTCTAAATCTTAAACAAATGAAGCTATGATTTGTAGAAAGTCTTTCCTGTAATAGTGCCCAGTCATTTTCTGAGCCTTTGTGTTCTACAAATGCTCAATGAAGATATGTCAAAGTCACTAATGAATTGGTGCTACTTTCCTGACAAAATATCCCTCATCGCACACTGCTGACATATATCTTAATAAAAAAAGGTGCAAGACAATAATTATATTTCACCCCATTGAACACTGTATATATTTCTCAATTGGGGAAGTATTTTGGATGTTTTTGTAACATTTTAAGCCTTTCAGAGTAATGTAACTAATGTATTAAACTTATGAAATTTCAGATCCGAAACAAAGCTAAACCAATGTGTATAGATAGTCCCTCAGATCACCATAGTTACCATAAACCAGTTAATATGTGGCCATGCCACGCTCAGGGTGGAAATCAGGTATGTTGTAGTTTAAATATTAACCAATCAAATCACTGGTAGCTGTCACTAGAATGGCACTGCTTTGATTTGATTGGATGATAGGATTTTAAAATTTTTTCTGTACTTTTTGATCATCCAAATCTATACACTACCGGTAATCTATTTTTTTTTCTCTATTACTGACGATTGATATCTAAACCAATCAAAACGCTAGAAAACAAAACTAGTTCCGCTGCCTAATAATACTATTGGATAGTGCTTATTCTGGTTTAATTTTAATAATTTTTAATGTATACAACTATAGTCTATTTACTAAACACAATTTTTGCTTTTAAAGGAATAATGATGAAGGTTGTTTTTAAAGTTTTATTTACATTGAGTTAGGGGATATTAGCACAGTCTAAAAAATATTCAGTTAGTCTGAAGATTTGTCAGAATGTTTTTGTAACGCCACAAGTTTGTAGTCCCCTGCCTAAAAGATGTCGTCAGATCCCAATCCCCAGTCTGGGAGCTGGGAGTAGGGAGTTCACAAGACCATTTTCAAAATAAATTCTAATTTTTTATGATTTTTTATCAGAATATTCACACACTACAGGTAAAAATAAAACACAAGTTTTGTGAAATGAAATATTTTTGAGGGATTTTTTAAGAATTTTAACATTTTAACTTTTTACAAATTTATTAACCCATAGATGGCTGCTGTTTTAAAGCATGAATATTTATCTTAAAGTGATATCGTCGTTTAATTATTTATTATACCAACTGATGGTGGAAGTTAGTTTCAGTTTGTGGAGCTAAGAGTTTGATATCTGATTGATCAAATCTATGAATAATTTTATGACAGTGGCTATTTGCACCATGACGGTTTAACAAATGACCATTCCTACCTAACCCCTTAAAATAATCACTTAATAGTAAAGCATTCATGACATAATGGCCCCATGCTCGAGAAAAAAACTAGAGCAGAGATGGGGAATCAAACCACCCTACAAATAATCACTTATTGGTATAGCATTCATGACATAATGACCTCACGCTGGAGCAGAGATAGCGAATCAATCCATTGCCCATACACAACACAAACGAAGCTCCCTCATTGGCTGTTAACAGCAGTACAGAAAAAGTGAAAAAACAAAGACAATAGGCACTGTGACATTGCAAATAGACAGTCGATATTTTATTTTGAGCTCTATCAGCTGGTATATCAAATAATTAGAGGATTATATCACTTTAAACTAAAGCTTTATCATATCTTCCCGTTTTTGCAATTTCGCAATTTTATTCCTTAGTGAGATTTTCAGGGTTTTTTGCAATTTTGAAATCCAATTTGCCCTTTTTAACTCCAATTTTGGAGTATTTTTACAATAAGTAGTTGTTTCGGAATTTGGTATTGTTGAAGCTTATTCCCAATTTTGATCATTCAGTAGATGTTGGTTCGGTTTTTAAGAATGATTATTAACCATAGATCTTGTCAAAATAGAGAATGATCTCTAGCTCCATTACAGTCAACTCTAATTAAAAAGGTGAAACAAAAAAAAAAAAACAATTTAAAACAATAAAACCAAAGAAATATACAGCCAGCCTATTAAGCAGATAGATTTTTTTGTTGAAATATAACTTTGAGCTAATATTGATTAACAAGAGGGATTCTTGTGTTGGTTGAAAGTTTGATTGTGGGGAAAAAATCACCAAAAGAGGCATGTTGCTCTGTAATAAATGATGGTCTGGTGAAACTCTGTTTTAAATCTTTTAACATGGGGACGAAAAGTTTTTGTGGACAATTTAGAAAATATGGAAACAGATTTAAAAAAGAATTTGAAAGAAAATATCAGGGTTAATTCTGTGACTATCTTGTGACAGATATAAAGAATGAAGTATTGCAACATCCAGATGATAATCTGTTTATTTATAAAGAAATTTGACGGCACTATGTTTTTGTTCCGAGAATATTTCTATTGTCTCAACTGTTTATTTTTCAGATTTATGATAATAAGGTAGAATTGTCTTCAAGATGATAAAAAATAATTCATCCTATTCCAAATACAAAGCATTTTTTCCTTGATCAAAATTTTCAGCCAATTTTCCCATTACATGGAGATTTATAAATGGTTTTGTAGTTATGCAAAATTTTAATATTAATATTAATATTTAATATTATTATTTTAAGTTTTGATTTTGAAGCACAGGTTCAGGTGTTATTGGATGGAATAATTATTGTGATTTATTTATTGGATAAGAAACGAGAAAAAAAAAAGTATAAATTTGTAAAATTACTAACAATTTTGTCACTATTAACATTTGAGAACATTTAGAAATAAGGAATTGAAATGAATTTTTGCAAATTTTAAATGATACTTGAAAATGAAAACATGACACAATTTCTAATACTGTGTCATTGGTTATTAATGGGGGGCTGGGAATTAATTGTGCCGATACATCACGATTATTTTAATCCAACGCAAGACATTGATAAGAAGGAAAGAATCGCGGTCCATCGATTAGTCCGTGAATTGTTGCAGCCGTATTAGTAACCATACGTAACTGGTAATCTCTATAGTGTGAGGGCACCTTAAGATATTAAAGAATATTAATTCTCACTGAGGAAAATGGAATGTGTATTATGTTGTGACTTGCTTAATTTAAGACATGAGCTTTTTAAGCATGTCAGCTATAGAACAGAGCTTGTGTGATTGTGTGACTTTGTTTTTGAAAAGTTCCCACAAATGATCTGAAATTATATCAACAAAGTTTATAGATTCCTGTATTTAAAACAATGTTATTGAGAAATAGAGTTGAACTACTATAGGTATTAGTCTGAGTTGTATAGTATGAAGAAACTAATTAGTATAAGAATGCTGTAACAAATAAAATATAATTTTTACAGATCATATTTCTACAAATCCTGAACATGTATTCTAGAAACGATCTTAGTGCTAGGATGTTCTAAGTTTTCGAGAATACGCGGCAAGGGTTTTTGTCTTAAGACAAACAAGACAAGTCTATATAGTTTTGAGGTAGAACAGATAGGTCACACATTGGCTCTCAAAATGACAACTAATACTACCTCCAAATAAGTGGACTGTTGGAAAATATTCCAAGATGTGCAAAATAAAATCTCTTTATTGAAAAAAATAACATTCTATAGTAAGACATGAAAATCATGCACATTTTGGGCTTTTTGGAATATGAACTATTTTGTGCTGTGGTTAAATATTATAATATATCTCTATATTTGATGTTTCTGGCACCATTTCATTAGTAAACAATATTTTTTTAATATATGGTATTAATTATTTAATTTTTTTTTTGTACATTACTTTTACTACCTTGAAATATGTTTATGTTTTAAATTGTTTGGAATTGTTCCAAACAAAATATATCTATATTCAACTAAATCATGTTTTATATTTATCAATAATTATATTAATTAATAACCTGATAATTAATAATAATTCAATTTATCTTTCAGTATTGGATGATGAGTAAGAACAATGAGATTCGACGAGATGATGGCTGTCTGGATTATTCTGGCGGGGAAAACGTGATTATCTACCCTTGTCATGGGCAGAGGGGAAATCAAGAATGGCAGTATCGAGAGGTATGTTAATTAGATTAAACTTTTTCTCATCTCTTGATTGGATGAAATATATGCATTTGCTTATGTTAGATGATGGTCTTGGATTCCAATTGATGTCAGCAAGGGAAAATCTGGTGGCTTTATTTTTCTCTAGCAGCCCACTTATATAGCCAGTATTGGTTAAAATAACCTGAAAACAACAATGTTTAAATGTTTATGTAGGACTTTACTGCAGCAGCAGACCCAGGTTTACGTCTGAGGGGGGGCGAAATATCTGAGATTGTCCTAATTTCTAACCTAGTTATGAGATTTTTGCCTGAAAAACTTGCTTTCAGGGTCGCGAGGGGTGGCGGCTACCCCTTGTCCCCCCTCCTTTGGCTCTGCCACTTCTTAACTGTTAATTTTTATCATCATTGTAAAATGAAGATTTTGAGTGGTGCCAAGGATCTATAAATTCTGAAACCACTTAGAAATTATATAATCACCCCTCTTAAAACAAATTCAGTTTTTAAATGGCATTTAGCAATTGTGAGTATGAAATATAGACACAGCTTTATGTAACAACAATCACTGGTTTGATCAAGTCTATACATAGTAGTAATGTTAAATAACATATTTTAGAGATAATTTCAGGTATAATTACAGCTTTTTTTCAAAATGAAAATTTAGAAAACTGCCTCTTTAAATATTTGAAATTAAACTAAACCCAGTAGAAGTGGGCCGATACGATCATGGGCAATTATTGTAACTATGATGATGTTTCTATTGTAGGATAACACAGTATTCCATGTAAATACACAGAAATGTGCTGAAGTTTCCGTGGACGGGAAAAAATTAATGGTACGTCCGTGTACAGGTGTGGACAGACAAATCTGGAAATGGAAGCGAAAAGCCCAGAAAAGTTAAAATTTCATTCCATTAGGTACAGTGTGAGTGTGTGTAAAATGTGGATGTGGGTGTATAAATGGATATTTATGGAGGTGACTTGTGGATCGTTTAAATTCCAAGTCGTATTTTAAGATGTTACCATGGCATTATCTATAGATTGTTTCTAGTGCCTATGTATCACAACTCGTCAAGTGGCTGTGATCAATTCTTCAGTTTGCCTTTTAATTAATTTCTTCAGACTCGTTCCACTACGCAATTTATTATTTTATGCTGATAGAAGTTGGTTTCTTTTTCTTTGAGAGAAGTCTACATCTATAAATATGGATGGTCTATAAATATGGATGGTCTATAAAGATGGATGGTCTATAAATATGGATGGTCTATAAATATGGACAGTCTATAAAGATGGATGGTCTATAAAGATGGATGGTCTATAAAGATGGATGGTCTATAAATATGGATGGTCTATAAATATGGACGGTCTATAAAGATGGATGGTCTATAAAGATGGATGGTCTATAATGATGGATGGTCTATAAAGATGGATGGTCTATAAAGATGGATGAATACATTTGCACAATTTCACTTTGGGACTTACGAAGATATTGTGATTGTCTCTGAAACATATTGCCCGGGATTTACATATTGAATTGTGACTTCCTTATATGGTGTTATGTCGAACAATGATGCATTCTGGGTAATTGTGCAAATTAGAATTTGTTTGTGACATTAAAATCGTGGAAAGAATTGGATTTTATTACACAAAGTATTTGAAATTTCAGCGAGCTTGTTGTTATTTTGGTTCATAATTCAAAGAATTGTGGGATTCATTCGGACATTAGGTTATGAGTGTGTTTAGTTTGTCGTGTAATTTATCAGCGGAATTCCTAGAGGATTATGGGATGCATTCCAAACATTTCATTTATAGTTATGTCAATCATGCAAGCTGGAAGAATGTGAAAAGTCAGCAAAAATGTCACCAACTTTTGTCAATGAACTCTTCTGAATGTACATTACATCGCACATCAATTATTGAAAATATGCATGTGTTGAGCAGATCATTTATGAGTCTAGGGGTGTCAAATTAATGACTGGCACACTTTTTCTAATTTCATTTACCACAAAATTTATTAAATCAGGGAAAAATTAATCATTTGTGGACGTTTTTCCATCAGACTTGAAAATCTAAAACTTGCGCAAATTTGTAATTGTTTTCGTCAATCCTTTGGTGTCCATAAACTTACATCTCAAATGATTCTGAATATTTCAAAACTTCAGTAAGTTTCGCAGATTATGTGCAAACTTACATCTTTATATCTTTATTATTATGAGATGAACAGATATAGTGTTCAGCAGCTGGTCATGAGAAAGCTGGTCATGAAGAAGCAATTTTAGGGAGAAGAGGCCTAACTGTCCTGGCATCAGCCCCACCCACTGTTAAATTGTAATAAACACAATATATGTCTGACATGTTTAGTTTCAATTACTATGTATTACTACAATTTGTATTTATTCTATCTAAAAATTTAAGTAGACTTCTCTTGTTTGTTTTTGGACATTTAATCATGTACAGTTTGGTTTATTTGTCGTAATTTAAGTTCTCATGAATATAGTAAAAGTCTCACTGGTCCTTAAGCGATATTTAGGACACTAAATCACATTAAATAACGGGACAAAATCTTATGGTAAACCACTCCTGAGTTTTATTGTACTGAACATTCGAACAATTAACATCGTCATTTCACCTGATGGTGACAATGTAAATTGTTGAAACATTGTATACGATAAAACTCAGGAGTAGTATACTTTATATACTGATGATAATGTAAATTGTTGAAACATTGTATACGATAAAACTCAGAAGTAGTATACCATCAAATTGTACTTAATCACTGGTATCTGATTACTTATTCCACCATCCAATTTAAGAAACTGTTAATGCTGTCAATGATTTCAGAATATCTAGGAATATTTCAATCAACTATTAGCTTAATCATTTAGAAACATTTAGGGGTAGAGATCACATTAAATAACTGACACAATTTTATGGTATACTACTCCTTCACCTGAAGATGACAATGTAGATTGTTGAAACATAGTGTGTAATAAAACTAGGGAGTGACATACCATAAAATTATTTAACTATTAGCTTCTATTTTATGAAAGTTTATAAAATGTTTTGTGTCTGTTGGGTTAAATTGTTATGTTTAATTAATCCTACGTAATTTATTTGTTAATTTTGTTTGAATTGTATATAGACATATCAGATTTATCTTAGGCACTGACATGAGGTCAAGGTCATTAATCAAGGTCATTACGCAATTTTTGTTGTTTTAATCAACTGATAATCACATTCTGTCCTTGATGCTGATGTATTGACCAATCAAATCTCATTATTTTGAACCTTCATCTTAAACACTTTGCAAACATTCAAAACATATGTGCATGAAAATTGTCCGCACTAATTAGCTGAATTGGTCATAGAAACAATTGCTGGAGCTTATATGTATATCAAAATTCCATCATTCATTGTTAGAAAACTGATATTTCAAGGTACATCTACTAGTGTTGGCACGATATATCAGTGAATCGATTTATCGCAATACGACAAGCCATGATATGTGTATCAATAATTTACAACATGCCACAATATATGTATCAATACTTGACGATAACTCTCATTCCATAGAAAAACTTGGGATTTTTCTTATAAGTTGGTGAATGGAATCAGAATTTTTTTTCACTGACTTGATTGAAATTATTAGAAATTTATAAGACAGTGGACATTAATGTTGTAAATTAATAAATAATGAAAAAAATTTTTATCCCGTTACCCCATATCGTGATACATATCGTATACGTATCATATTGTGATCAGTATCGTATTGTGAACCTTATATAGATACGTATCATATTGTGATCAGTATCGTATTGTGAACCTTATATAGATACGTATCATATTGTGATCAGTATCGTATTGTGAACCTTATATAGATACGTATCATATTGTGATCAGTATCGTATTGTGAACCTTATATAGATACGTATCATATCATGGCATGATTGTCGATACCTAGCACTACTATGTATTGGTACCAGATGAATATTGAAACAGTTTTATCGTGTTCAAGCTATCTGTCTCAACAATTATAGTTTAAACGTGCTACTTAAATTGCCAAAACCCTTCAGATTAAAATACAGATATATAGTCTGAGTGAAGTTTTTCTATATTTTTTAAGAGAATTGGAATATCAGCCTCAACATAGTACTATTAGTCTTAGAATGTCTTTGCATTGATGCTGTTATTCCAATTCTCATCAAAAAAAATCTAAAAAAACCTTTTTGCTGGGACAATAAATATTAATTTTAATGTTTTTTCTTTGGGTTACTGAACCAACCAGCTATGATCTGAGCAAAAATCTTCAATGACTAGTGTTCTGTCTCTGTCTTATTTTTACCATAAGGAAACTAAATCTATATTGCTATTTGATGGGGTTTTAAACTTTCCACGTTATCAGGACATATCAAATTCTTGTTGTTTAATTAAGAATTTTTTTTTACAGTTTTTGTCTTATTATGCTTTCTTTTGGCAGACAAAGTTTTTTTTTATGGACTTAATGTTTATTGATATTTATTTTAAATTTGATATGAAAGTTAAAAGAAACTTGGAAGTTTGATATTTGGAATTTTTTTCAAACTTGAGGAAATTTTTAAGGGTGTGCTTTATCAGCATTGAGTCCACATTGAGAAGGTTATTACAATTTCCTGATTTGTGGATCCACAGGCTCTGATTGGTTTAATTCTATATTTTTAAAGATGGCTGAGATTTATGGTGTCTATTGGAAATAAAAATTTATAATTCAGAAATCTAATTTTGTTTTTGTATTTTTTTTTTCTTTTCGTTATGAATAGAGCAGGATAGAATATTATTCAGTTAATTAATTTATAAATAGATATAATTAAATAGAAATAAAATTTAATGCTGCAGTGCAGAGTTTCAACAAATTACTGCAAAATATCACACTTTACCTTTATTCCGGTAACTCATGTGTGTTATTTTGGTGTGATTTGTTGAAAATATATCCTAAGTTATTGTACATAAAATAAAGTCTATATTTGTAAAATGTAAATAATATTTATATGTAATATTTAAGATTTTCAAATCATTTTGCAACTAATCATGCAAAAATATCATTTCTGATTAGTTAATTTGTACATGACATCTTACATTTTGGCAGAATTAGCTGCAGAGCAAATGGAATAAATGTACAGCTTCATATAAGATTGTCAAATCATTTTGCAACTTACAACCAATCATGTAAAAATATCACTGCTTGTTAGTTGAAGTCTTTCCACATTATATTTTGGCTAGTTTAGTTTGGAATCTGAGTCGATATTAATGCCACAATGAATTGGAGATTTATTTGATCTTTTATACAAATTCATAAGAAATGAATCTTTATTAGATAATTGATTTGAATTTAGTAAAACTTCTGTCTGTATATTTCATTTGTCATGGCCTGATTTTTTAAGTGCCTTCTACAATAAATGTGATTTTATAAAATCTGATTTTATTTTTATCATTGAAACATTCTGATATATTTTGGGATCCTTGTCCATAATGGAAGACATTTTACAATCATTCCTATTATATCCTGGCAAACTGAAGTAGAATGGAATATAGAAGAGGAATGATACAAAGGGCAAAAGTGAAGGTGGGGCTAGGGCAGATGAAATAAAGGAAAGGAATGTATATAAGTGGAGAAGCAAGGGGGAAAGTGAATATATTAGAGAGGAAATGAATCAAGGGATGTATGTAAGTGGAGAAGCAAGGGGGAAAGGGAATATATTAGAGAGGAAATGAATAAAGAGATGTATGTAAGTGGAGAAGCAAGGGGGAAATATATTAGAGAGTAAATAAATCAAGGGATGTATATAAGTGGAGAAGCAATGGGGAAAGGGAATATATTAGAGAGTAAATGAATCAAGGGATGTATATAAGTGGAGAAGCAAGAGGG